TTTATGTCCAGTCTTGCTAATTTGTGAAGCAAAGTCAAACACTTTCTGACTTTCTCCAAAACAGTCACAAGCAGATCCTACACAACTATTCTTTTTAATATTATTGTGCTCATTCCCACCAAACCCAGACATTATAATAACTATGAAAGAGGTCCTTATTATCTCTTTGTGATGCATAACAGAGCTTGTTTCTGTGTTTGCAATCACAATGCATTTTAACTGATATTTTGGTATTTAGAATGACAATATTTTACTATAATCTCTCTCAGCAAGATGCCCACCATGTGAATAAGCTTGTGATTTCTATCCTCATATTCCACCTATAATTTAGTAAAGTCAGAAAAAATAATGTACCTTATTTTAACACTTTAGTACTCAATTAAGTACAGGTTGAACATCTCTATCTGAAAATCCAAAACTATCCATATGAGTGGCTAAGATAGTAAGACCTTTGCTTTCTGATGGTTCAATTAACACAAACCTTGTTTCGTGCACATAATTATTTAAAATATTATGTATAAAAGGGAAGTTTCATGTTTAACTTGGATCCCATCTTCAAGATATCTTGTATACCTTATATGTAATTATATGCAAACATTTATCCCACCCCCACCCCCCGGGGCCAAAAAAAATCAAAACCCACCACACTCCTTGTACCTGGCATTTCAGATAAAGGATACTCAGCATGAGTTTATATTTATAATATTATATATTATATTGAATATATGTAAACATCTACACAAACACACTTCACTATTTACAAATAACTTTTGCCCTAATTTCTCTTTTTGTGCTGATTAAGAAGATAAATAATGGGTATTCAGTAATTGTACCAATATAAGTTTACTTAGTCTAAGGAGGTGAGCCTATTTCACCACAATTTGCATGACCACTCACCATTGGCTATGCTGGTTAAGGATAGCAAGAGCTGCAGTCCAATAGCATCCCTAATTTAGGAAGAGCATTTACCCTTTTCCTACAGCCTTCAATATTACTGGGTTAGATATGTTATTCCAAAGATTAAAAAGTGAGCAGATACCCTAAAGACACCTGATGCTAAGCAGGGTCAGTCCTGTTAGTGCTATATCTCAGAAGGAGGAACTGGCCAAACCATCTCTGAGTATTCCTTGCCTTAGAGAACCCGATAAAATTTATGGGGTTTCCACATGTCGACAGGCAACTTGAAGGTGCATGCATATACAAATCATGAGTACCTAATGCTGAATCGTATAGCATTAATGATATAATGAATAATATAGTCAGATTAACCAAAATGCCATCACAGCACTTTGCAGTAAAGTTTCAATTAGTAAGATTTATCCAACGTATTTACTAATTAATGATTTCCCATTGGTATAGCTTTCTTACATCTTCAGGCCTCCGCTGGCAGACAAATTGATTACACAGTATAATGTATGAATTATTTTGTACCTATGAGATTTTCTAGCATTTCTCTTGTGAGAAAACTGAAAAGGCTTGAACTGCACGTAGACCCAGAAATTAAGTTATTTATGAACTATATCAGATCTGTGTGAATATTTATAATATCCAATGCTATTTATGATACTAGGTATGGCCATGTTAGCTGGGGCATTCCCCCAAAAGTAACTGTTGCAGAACTTTTATGAATTGGAGAGGATCTGCAGTGCAAATTGGTGGTAACATGCTTACATATACTAAGCTTAATAGCTTTGCTTGAGCTTTGTTTAACAGATTTTGGTTCAGCAAATAAATCTGGACGGATCTATTTAACCTCTTTGATGGTTACAAACTCCCCAAAGTTTTGTTTAAGGTTAGCAGAACCTTCCATTAAAAACAGAGTTAATAGGTTCTTAGATTAAAGCTGAGAGGCAGTATGAAGTAGAAAAAGACACTGGGAGGTAAAGGCCTGAATCTTTGCTCAGCCATGGAAACCCATTGGATGACCTTGGGCAAGCCACACACACTCAGCCCCAGGGGGAGGCAAAGACAAACTCTCTTAGAACTAGTTTGTGTTTCTTTTTTCTGCCAATGGAAACAGCTCATAACAACAAATATGCATGGAGGATTCTGTTCATCTGAACAATTGAATGATAGCTCAGACTCTCCTGCAAGTTCTACTGATGTTATTGGGGAAATGAGTGCAAAACAATGCTATAACCCAACTAGCCAGCCTAGGTCAAACACTGCAAAGAAATAAACACAAACCCAAATCAGCATGACTTGCTTCCAGGTTTATAGGTGTAATTACACCAGGCTTTAAAACTACTTTCAACAATCACAGCTCCATTGCACAGAATCCTGGGATCTGCAGTTTGATGACATACCATGTTCAACACTTCTTAATAGAATCATAGAGTTGGAAGAGACCTCATGGGCCATCCAGTCCAACCCCCTGCCAAGAAGCAGGACAATCGCATTCAAAGCACCCCCGACAGATGGCCATCCAGCTTCTGTTTAAAAGCCTCCAAAGAAGGAGCCTCCACCACACTCTGGGGCAGAGAGTTCCACTGCTGAACAGCTCTCACAGTCAGGAAGTTCTTCCTCATGTTCAGGTGGAATCTCCTTTCCTGTAGTTGGCAGCTATTGTTCCATGTCCTAGTCTCCAGGGCAGCAGAAAACAAGCTTGCTCCCTCCTCCCTATGACTTCCCCTTACATATTTATACATGGCCCTCATCATGTCTCCTCTCAGCCTTCTCTTCTGCAGGCTAAACATGCCCAGCTCTTTAAGCCACTCCTCGTAGGGCTTGTTCTGCAGACCCTTGATCATTTTAGTCACCCTCCTCTGGACATATTCCAGGACACCCTATTAGAGAATTCTAAATACTTCAACAATACAAGTATTTTGACTTCATTTCAGCTATCACAGGTCTAGTCTATGGGACCGTGGTTTTGTAGTTTGGTCCTTAGATGAGTCCCCTCCAGAAAGACTTAGTCTACTCTCTCCTGAACCACAAAACTATCACACTCTCTTAGCAGAGAATTCTTAAGTATCTCACCAGACTGCAAAGCCCAAGGTTTTATAGGATAGAACCAGGGAAGTGAAAACGATACTGTATAAAACCATGGGGCTTTTAAAACTATAGTTGCCTGGATTTTGGAGTTTGATTTGCGCCACAGCAAGCTGTTAACTGTTGGCTGATTGCAGGACCGAATTCACCCAAGAAGAGTGGATTCTTTTCTAACAATGCATTGTGTCTTTTATGCTTCAGAGCTGACATCAAAAAGCATGTGGATTTTGCTTCACAGCCCTGAATATTATTCCCTAAAGCGATCGCATGCCTTTCTTCCCCACCCCACCATCCTGCCCAACCTGTGCCATGCATGCCCACTCCCTCCTCTTTGGGAAAAAGAACAGCCGGGCCTCTCCCTTTTTCCCTTCATGCTCCCTTTGCGTGCCACCACGCAGAACAACCGGTCCTCCTTTCCAGAGAGCTCTGGAGGTGCTCACCCCCAAGGAAAAGGGCAAGGAGAAAGGAAAGTGAACAACACAGGCAAGGATAAGCCAAGGGATCTCAGCAGCCAGCCAAACTCCCTTGAAGGCAAATGTACCCTGCTGTCCAACAAGGCACCCTTGAGAAGCCCATAAAGGCCCCATAGAATGAAAGCCAGGGCTCTTCTGGAAGAATATCCAGAAGCATGAAGGCTGTGCCCAGGAAAACAGAAAGTGCATCTACACTGTGGAATTAATGCAGTTTGGCACCACCTTCACTGCCAGGGCTCAATGCTGTGAAATCACAGGAGTCGTCCTTTCACAGCCCTCTGCCAAAATGAATACTGATACTAAGCTACAAATCCCAGGATTTCATAGCATTGAGCCATAGCAGCTAACGGTAAAGGTTTCCCTTTGATATTAAGTCCAGTCAGGTCCCACTCTGGGGGTTAGTGCTCATCTCCGTTTCTAAACTGAAGAACTGGTGTTGTCCGTAGACACCTCCAAGGTCATGTGGCCAGCATGACTGCATAGAGTGCTGTTGCCTTCCTGCAGAAGTGGCACCTATTGATCTACTCACATTTGCATGTGAGGTTGGCAGAAGCAAGGGCTTGATGAGGACTTGAACCTTCTCTGCCAAAGAGGACGGGTACCTCAAAAACTGCAACTCCAGCATTGCAACAGCACTAAGCCACAGAAATGAAAGGGGAGCCCCTGGTGGAGCAATGGGTTAAACCATTGAGCCGTTGGAACTTGCAAACCAAAAGGTCTCCGGTTGGAATCCAGGGAGCGGGGTGAGCTCCTGCTGTCAGCACCAGCTTCTGCCAACCTAGCAGTTCAAAAATGCAAATGTGAGTAGATCAATAGGTACTGCTCTGGTGGGAAGGTAAGGGCGCTCCATGCAGTCATGCTGGCCACATGACCTTGGAGGTGTCTACGGACAAAGCTGGCTCTTCGCTTAGAAATGGAGACGAGCACCAACTCCCAGAGTTGGACACAACTAGACTTAATTAAGGGGAAAACTTTTACCTTTACTATCAAACTGCATTTCTTATACAGCGTAGATTCCCAAGTCCTGGGAAAAGAGAAAGACCTCACTACCTCTGAGGAAGCTTGCCATAGATGCAGGCGAAACGTCAGGAGAGAATGCTTCTAGAACATGGCCATACAGCCCGAAAAACCTACAATAACTCCGTGATTCCAGCCATGAAAGCCTTCGACGATACAAAGAGCAAGCAGGTGGAAATCAAGACAAGAACTGAAGCAGAACTAGAGCTCGGAAAGCAAACAAGCCCCAGGAAGTGCACTGCCGCCCCCTCGCTGCGCCCAAGGAGGACCTTCAGACCCTGGCAGGCTTTGAACTTGGCAGCCGCTCGCTGATGCATAGAAGAGAATAGCATCAGCGAATCCACCAAAGAGGCCCCCTCGCCAGGAGACTCCAGGGCTCCAGTTGGACTAGACTTGAACTGCTAGGGCTCAATGCAATGGGAGCCGCAGTTTTCCAAGGCTCTGGCCAAGAGCGCTGGGGCCAAACCCCCTCCCAACCTCGCCTCCCTTCCTCCCCACACCAATGCCGCCGCCTCTTACTTCTCGTCCACATGCGGGCTGGGCGAGCACTTGATGGCCAGCCAGGTCTTCCAATGGACGTGGCGGACTTTGTAGACCTGCCCGAAGCCTCCCGAGCCGATCTTCTCCCAGCTGACGAACTCGCCGGAGTCGAAGGTCTTGAGCAGCCCCATGGCCAGCGGGGAGCCAGCCTCCTTCTCCATGGGGCCTCGCGGGTCCGCCCCAGACCCGCAGCCTGCTTGCTTGCTCGCAGCCTTCCGCTCGCTCCCTGACTCCCTCCCTCCCTCTCTCTCTGCCTCTGCCTCCTTCGCCTGCCTCCCTGCCTCGCTGGCTCTGCCTACTGCTTCTTCCCCAGGTGACTCAAGGTGTACTCACTCCCTGGGCGGTGGCGTCACTTCCGGGCCCCGCTCTTCCCCGCTCCGACCCAGGCAGCCCCAATCAGAAAGGGAACAGGTTGCCAAAGAGCAGCGAGGGAGGAGCTGTTCCCCCATGGAAAGGAGGAGGCTCTGCCTTGTACCTAGACGCAGTGACTTCGCTCCTCCAGGCGACCTTTGGCACTTCGCCTCCTAGGGTGCATCTGCACTGCAGAAACAAAGGCAGTTCAGCAACTCTTTTACTGCCTCGGTCCCTGGAATCAAGGGGCTGGTATGGGCGGGATAAAAGTAAAGAAAATACATAAATAAATAAAGGTTTTGCAAGGTCTGTCGCCTTCTCGACCCCAAAGTATATTGTGCTTCACCAAGGGGAAAAAAAAGGGAATTTACAGGTTTGTAAGGTCTGTCGCCTTCTCGGCCTCAAAGTACATTGTGCCTCACCAAACTACAATTCCCAGGTTTTCATAGCATAGAGCCAAAGCAATTCCACACAATGTATTGTCGAAGGCTTTCATGGCCGGAATCTCCGGGTTGTTGTAGGTTTTTCGGGCTGTGTGGCCATGTTCTAGAAGCATTCTCTCCTGACATTTTGCCTGCATCTATGGCAGGCATCCTCAGAGGTTGTGAGGTGGGAAAGGGTTCGGCTGGATGGCCCCTGGAGTTTCAATGTAAGACAAACTTTGATAAAATGACCCCAGAGCACTGTATTTTATGGTTTGTGCAATTGAATCTTTCCTCATCCCCAAATCTCCCTTCCCGACAATTTTTGCATAGATGCAGGCAAAACGGCAGGAGGGAATGCCTCTAGAACATGGCCATATAGCCCAAAAAAACCTACAATAACCCAATTTTTGCACTGCCTATCTCCCAGTGTTTTAAAATTTAAAATTTAATCCTTGATTTGACCCCACCCAGTGTAATTCCCTTGTGTTTTTAATTGTTTGATTTATATTGCTGTGTTGTCTATTATATTGGTTTTGCATTTTATGTATTTTATTTTCTGGTTTTGTTGTTTTTTGTGTAATATTGTGTTTGTTATACTGATGGGCGTGGTCTCATGTAAGCTGCCCCGAGTCTCCCTGGGGGAATTGGAGCGGGGTATAAATAAAGTATTATTATTATTATTATTATTATTATTATTATTATTATTATTATTACATTCTGCTCTTCTACATCTTCTTCTTCTCCCCCCCTCCTCCTCCCCTCTCCCCTCCTCCTCCTCCTCCTCCTCAGACTGGGTGGCCACCTGTTGGGGGTGTTTTGATTGTGCTTTTCCTGCATGGCAGAAGGGGGTTGGACTGGATGGTGCCTGGGGTTTTCCACTGAAATACTGTTAAGCTTATGTTGGTTAAAATTGTTCTTCATTTTATTTTTAATATTGTATTGTTCTTTCCTTTTTGGTACTGGAAACAAGATCTATGCAGTGTGCATAGGAATTTGTTCATTTTTAAAAATCAGTTCACACAAACATTCTCCATCCATCGGCCACTGGCCCAGCCGTCTGTCAAATTTTAAAACACAATGTGTCAACAAGTTTGCCCATGACCGATATAGTTATACCTTGATGTAATAGATAAAAATTTCTTGGAGCTCCACAAGAAACTTTTGCTTCAAAAAGGGCCCCACAGCTGAAAAACTTTGAGAACCCCTGAACTTGAGACTCAGGGGGCATCTACATAGTAAAATTAATGCAGTTTGATACCACTTTAACAGTGCTATGGAACTGTGATAGTCATAGTTGTGTAAGGTCTTTAGCCTTCTCCACCAAAGAGTGCTGGTGCCTCACCAAACTATAACTCCCATGATTCCATAGCATTGAATCATGGCATTCCACAATGTGGATGCAGCCTTAGATCAAATAGCTAATACCATCTAATATATTTTAAGAAAGAAGGAAATAATAAAATGCCAGTATAAAACAGCACCATCACTGGTATTGTAGCCATCCAACACAGTTACTCATGACATCAACCCCATGGATCCCCTCCTGTACCAGAGGACAGCAAACTATTACAGATAAAATACCAAAAAATAACAGAATCAGTAACTATAAAGAGCCATCAGCAATGAAGACAACAGTGCATTCTTGTGGCACATGCAAACAAAACCATATGATTTGAAGCATTATTGTAAATTGGGTAAATAATGACAGCAATGATGGGAGTGCATGCACACTAGAAGATCCAAAAAATACATTAGAAAATAGTTTGAGCCTTGTGGGTATATTGAAACACTACACCAAAATCTTATAGGCTCAAAGTTTGGGACTGCCTGGTGCAGTTCACATACACACCCCTCCCCCCAAATGACACCAACACCACTATTGCCGTGTGCTTTCAAAGTAATTTGTGACTCATGGAAATCTTATCATGGGACTTTTTTGGCATGATTTGTTCAGAGGAAGTTTGCTTTTGCCTTCTCTGAGGCTGAGAGGGTGTTACCGGCAAGCGGCTTTCCATGGCTAAGCAGAGACCTGAACCCTGGTTTCCGAAGTCCTAAGCCAGCACTTAAAGCACTGTGTCATCCTGCATCTGAAAGAATGGCACACTTATAGCTTATCAGTGCCAAAGCAAGCCCCTGTGCAACAGCTTTCTGACATTCAAAGCACAACTTACTTCCAAATATAACTGGTTAGAAATAAGCCCCAGGGAAATCACTTCCAGGGATGCAAAACAAAGCCTTAACATATTTCAGTCCTTTTCAGAAAACTGAAATATCTGAAATTCCTTTTATCAGACATCACTAATTGGAGACAAAACACTTTCTTGTATCTCTGAATGACTCTCCCATCTCATTTCCTTTCCCATGGCCCAGCTAATTACCTGGAGTTGGTGGGGAGGTAAAAGTGGGTTGGGAGCTATTGCCAGCATGTGGCTATAGATCAGGTATTGGCAAACCCAGGCCTGAAGGCCAGATGTGGCCTCTTGGGCTCTTTTCTCAGGCCCTCTTCTCTCTCACCATCCTATCCCTCCTTCCTTCCCCCTTCCCTCCCTCCCTTCCTTACCTCCGTCTTTCCTTTGTCCCCTTCCTTCCATTCCACCCTTTCGTCCTTCCTTCCTTCCATCTCTCTTTCCTCCTTCCTTCCCTCTCTTGCTTTTTACTTCCCTACTTGATTTGCAGGGAATCATTTTGATCTCTGCACATATTCATTGGAAGCTGTACCTAAAATGAAAAGACTTTGTAGGAGACTTGAGAGGTGAAGATACCCTACTAGAAAATATTTATAGTTGATTTGATAGTATTAGACTGCGACTTAGTAGGCAGAGGCTACCATAATACATATCTTTTAGAGTATGTGTTCCTCATGCTGCCTGCAAATTGTAGTAGTTGTATCTTTATTCCTTGATACAGCTGTTCCAAGTATACTAAGAAGAGAAGGGTTCAGGAGAGTTAATAGATTATGTTTCCTGTATACCATCTGTTTATTTGTCCCTCTGTCTCTAGGCTCTGGGTGAGATGTAGGGGTTGTAAGGCAATTCCACCACACTAGTTGGGAGGTCACTATCACCATGGCTGTCAGTAATTCGAGCAGGAGCTGAGATGCAGGAAGCAGAATCCTTTCCTTGGCCAGGGCAACAAATGAGACAATGGTCTTCTGGTTTTCACACAATAGCCACCTGGAGTGATAATTTATTCCTACGTTAATAAAAACAGTTAAAAGCAGTTGACCAGCAACCTACGTAAGGAGGTGCATTCAACCCTCCATGTACATCTGTGGATTCAACACATGGCTTGAAAATATTTTAAAATAAATTCCAAAAGGTTATTTAGTAATTTTATATAAGGGAGCTATTTTACCATGCCAATATATGTAATGGGACTTGAGCTTCCAGTGATTTCTGTATCCACAATGAGTTCTGGAACCAATTTCCAGTTGATACCAAGGACCCACTATATAGGATAGATTCTATAATATCTACAATTTCAACACCCTACATCTGTCTATTATTATTATTATTATTATTATTATTATTATTATTATTATTATTATTACAGGCCCCATTATCACTACTGTTGAGTCTGGTCATGCACTTTACCCATTCCCCTGGCCTCTTATGGCTTAATTTGCACTAGCCTGGCCCGGCCATCCCAAATTGTCCAGGTCCTTTTTGAAATCCCGGTCTTAACCATTAATCTTGACACAAATAATTAGGTGGGATTGGTTTTACTGTATATGTGTTGTGTTGATAATTTTGTGCTTATGTTTTTGCTTACTTTCTATGTTTTTACAGTTTGAAACTGCCCTGACTCCCATTGGAGAGAGAGAGTGGTATATAAATAATTTTTATTATTATATTATATTATTCCACTTTTTTCTCTTGATCCAGACCAGGCCTGCACAACCTGCACCCCTCCAGGTGTTTGGGATGTCAACTCTCACAAGCTTTAGACAGCAGTTCCAATGGCCAGGAATTCTGGGAGCTAAAGTCCTGATCTAGTCCAGACCCAGAGCAGCTCTTCTCTCTTGATCAAGATTCACAGAAGCAACAGATCCCTGTTTTTAAATAATGCTGTATGTGCAAACAGAACCCTTATGCTCTATTAATATAGGATAGGATTAATGCCCAATCCCACTGTTGTCAGGTCTCTTGTTGCCTTGTAAGGTCCAACAAATAAAAACACAGCCATCTGCCTCACAACAGGAAAAAGGCCAAACTATTTCATGTTTCAACATGTCTACAGAGCTCCCAAGTGCTTTGAAAGCTGAAGAACATGAAAGATGAGACAAATGGCTTTTGTTGGTAAAACAAAAGCAAACAAAGACGGGTTGTCCCTTCAAGGCTTGTTTGCTCTTGAAGGACTTTAATAATTACAAGATGTTGAATAGACAGCTATAGAAAATGGTGGCATAAGGTGTAGTGGGATGGGCGAGGGAGTGCCACAAGTCTTGAGCCCTGGGCATATCCTCCAGGAAGAGGTTATTGGGGCCAAGGATCCTACATTTCTACAAAAGTTATCCAAAACAGTGATTTCAACTCAGGCATATCTTATTATCTGAGGGCCCAACATAGATATGTTGTTAAATGCATCATTAGAAACAAA